GGTGGGGAGGGCAGGGGAGCAGCAGTAAAAATACAACTACTATTTATGGAAGTTAATTTTTTTCCCAATGAATATGAAGAATTATATTGAAAAAATGAGAGCAAGAGATTCTTAAAGTATCTGCTAGTTTCCATCAGGGATTTCCGTGTTCACCAGATTGATATTATCATCTGACATGTGTTGGAAGACATCCACAACAACTCCACCAGCCTGAACTGCAAGTAGCCAAAGACAAAGCCAGATAGGACATCTGTGATATGGTGTCGTCCAATCATGATGCGGGAAAGCCCCACAAAAAAGGCCCAGAGGACCAGCAGGATCCGGAGAGGGATGGCCAAAACCAGGTGGTTGAGGAAGAATTTGGACAACATGGCAGCTCGGCTGGCGTGGCCAGCAGGGAAAGCGTAGATGTCCATGGTCAGATAGTCCAAGAGGCCAGGGTGGACATCATATGGGCCTCGTCGCTTGGCCAGCTTCTGCAATCCTGCCACAATCAAGATATCTAGGAACAATGCTGCAAAAGAAGGGAGAAAGAGGGAAAGGTCATGGAGACAAGCCGACAGGTCACTGTTATGAGACGTTTAGCAAGGGAAAGGGAGGATCGCAAGGCAGCATCTGGGGCAATAACTGCTTTTCACTGAAGACCTGAGTTCAAATTTCACCATAGTTGAAAACAGGCTTGGGTACTCTCAGCCCTAGTCATCCTCAGAGCACTTTACAAACATGAACTGACCCTCCCAACGCCCCCATGAAGTAGGCGAGTATTGTGTTATCCCCCTTCCCACAGAAATGAAGGACCGGAAGCACAGAGAAGACCAGTGATGCTCCCAAGATCACAGAGGCAGGACTGGGATAAAAACTCCAAAGTTCCTGCCCCTTTACTTAGACAACAGCTCTTTAACTTAGCCCCATTTGTGTGCCAAAGAAAGCCATCCACACCAACCCCACCATCTGCTGTATACATGGCTGGGAATGCAAGTCAGGAGGATGGTGTTGCAGTAGCAGAGCTGGAGGGGGAAGTTAGTGCAATCTGTGCCTTACAGCAGGCCTAGCTCATGCCAGGCCTATTTAATTCCTTGTTCTCTGAAGCCTTTAAAAAATAACACACTCACAAATACCACGGCCTCTTCCTCTCCACACCCCCAGAATTCGATTGAACTGGTGGTTTCCACTAGTGGGAGGACATTAAGGGATAGTGAAAGGTTAAAAATAAGATCGAGAAAATGGCTTTATTTCGATAACTAACACCACTTTGGAGACCAGAAAATGACATGTGGTCTCAGTTCTCATTGCCTTGTTGCTTCTCTTCTTTTTTGCAATTCTCTAGAGCTGGAGCAATGAAAACAGACAAGTTTAGGTCACCAATTTCTGGTAAATTGCTATTTTCTGTGTCCTTCACATGAAGACTGCAAATTGTACAGTACAAGCTAGTCTGGTTCTTAAAAAACTCTCTATTGGGATAGATAGATAGATAGATCATCACTGACAATGTCTCTCCAAACTGCTCTTAAATATCTCCAGTGATGGTGATTCCATAACCTCCTTAAGCAATTCATTCCAGTGTTTAACCACCCTGACAGTTAGGAAGTTTTTCGTAATGTCCAACCTAAATCTCCCTTGATGCAGTTTAAACCCATTGCTTCTTGTCCTGTCATCAGAGGCCAAGGAAAACAATTTCCCCCTCCTCTTTGTAACATCCTTTTAGATACTTGAAAACTGCTAACATGTCCCCTCTCAGTCTTCTCTTTTCTAAACTAAACAAGCTCAGTTCTTTCAGTCTTCCGTATATAGTTCATGTTTTCTAAGCCTTTAATCATTTTTGTTGCTCTTCTCTGGACCTTTTCCTATTTTTCCACATCTTTCTTGAAATGTGGTGCCCAGAACTGAACACAATACTCCAACTGAGGCCTAATCAGCGCAGAGTAGAGCGGAAGAATGACTTCTTGCGTCTTGCTCAAAACACTCATGTTAATGGATCCCAGAATCACGTTTGCTTTTTTTGCAACAGTGTCACACTGTTGACTCATATTTAGCTTGAGGTTCACAATGACGCCTAGATCCCTTTCTGCAGTACTCCTTCCTAGACAGTCGCTTCCCATTTTGTATGTGTGAAACGAAATGTTCCTTCATAAGTGAAGTACTTTGCATTTGTCCTTGTTAAACTTCATCCTATTTACCTCAGAACATTTCTCTAGTTTGTCCAGATCATTTTGAATTATGACCCTCTCCTCCAAAGCACTTGCCAACCCTCCCAGCTTGGTATCATCTGCAGTCTTAATAAATGTATTCTCTATGCCATCATCTAAATCGTTGATGAAGATATTGAACAGAACCAGTCCCAAAACAGACCCCTGTGGAGCCCCACTTTTTATGCCCTTCCAGCAGGATAGTGGACCATTAATAACTACTCCCTGAGAATTGTTATCCAGCCAGTTATGCACACACCTTATAGTAGCCCCATCTAGGTTGTATTTCCCTAGTTTATTGATAAGAAGATCATGTGAAACCATATCAAATGCTTTACTAAAATCTAGGTATACAGGGCAGGGGACTGGACTCGATGACCTCTCAAGATCCCTTCCAGTTCTATGATTTGTTCTTTACAAATCCATGCTGGCTGTTATCCGTCACCTTATCTTCCAGTTGTTTGCAGTTGGATTCCTTAATTACTTGCTCCATTATCTTTCCTGGCACAGAAGTTAAACTGCCTGGTCTGTAGTTTCCTGGTTGTTCTCATTTCCCTTTTTATAGATGGGCACTATATTTGCCCTTTTCCAGTCTTCTGGAATCTGTCCCAATTTCCCGGATTTTTCACAGATGATAGCTAAGGGCTCAAATACCTCCTCTATCAGCTCCTTGAGTATTCTAGGATGCATATTTGGACATCTCATTTTGCTTTGGATTTAGCAAAAAGCTGCTTCTTCAGCAGCCTAGATTGGAGAACCAAGCACAGAAAGGACAAACTCATATACCGTATTTTCCGGCGTATAAGGCAACTGGGCGTATAAGACGACCCCCTAATTTTCCAGTTAAAACATAGGTTTTGGCCTATACTCGCCGTATAAGACTACCCCCCCTTCTGAGGCAACACCATTTAATAACATCAGATTTGATTTAAATAATTTTAATTAAAATGGTTTTGACTTGCAGGTACTTAAAATCCTTCAAAATCCTCATCATGTTCATCCTCTGTCAGAGAGGCGGGCTATTACAACCTTTGCCAATCCGAGCAGGCTTTGTATGCATTAATAGATGACACTGCTTGCCGTGATTGGCTCAGCGCGGTACATACAGTATCAGCACAGGGATGTTCTGTATGTAGCCGAAGCTACAGTACTGTATTAGGGCACATCCAGCGGGCTAAAAGGTAATAATAGGGACGTTCTGTATGTAGCCGAAGCTACAGTATGTTTATACCTGGCGTATAAGACGACCCCTGATTTTTGGGGGATGTTTTTTAGTATAAAAAGTCGTCTTATACGCCAGAAAATACGGTACATGAGTATGAGATAGTCCAGATAATGCAGACATACATGCACACCCCTGTATAAATGTAAGGGAGTGTGTGTGGTGTGTGTTTGTGTGTGTATGAAAGAGGGAGAGAGAGACTTCCCTCTGTGTGTGTGTGTTAAAGTGTAAGAGAGGCATTTCCCTGTATAAATGCTAAAGACAGTCAGTCCTTGCTTTCCAATTGCTGCATGGGTGGTTTCTGTCTCATTCTGGGCCCCTCTGCCTTAATTGCTCCTGCCCGGAAGTAATTTCCGGTGGAGCTTGTCCTCATCTTGCTCATTTCCCTCCCTCAGACAGGTGCTGTTGATTTTATTCTTCAGTTTATTTAATCTTCTCATCTGCCTTTCTGCAGTGTTTCTAATTAGTTAGAGTGCTGATTTCAGCTCCTTGCTGGGAAGGAGCTGCAGTGACAGCAGATACATACCGTAGCAGGCACAGCCTGCTCCATCCGCAGGAATGTCAGAAAGCCAGTTGCCTATTTTCTCAGGACTAAGACTGTTCATTCGATGCTGCCAAGATTTCGCAGGAACTGGGGGGGCGGAAGAGGGTTTCTCCAGTACACAGGAGATGGCAAACAGCAAGGTGAGCAGTTCTCTCAGATACCAACACGCCTCAGCCATGAATCAAAATGAATCAAAACACTAGAGCCCAATCTGAAACACATTCCTTGGGTGAGTAGCCCCACTGACATCAATTGAACTGTTCCCCTGGTAGGAATGAGGCATGCTACAGAAAACATTGATTTAGCTAGTTAGTAAGAAGAGCAACCCTTGGGTGTCCAAATAGGATGGGAGACAAGGGATTTATTTGGCTAAATGGGGATTCTCCTTAAGACAGGTTAGATAGTGTAGGGGCAGTAAGACAGCAATTCACAAGGAGGGGATCGCAACATACATTCAGATGATCGGGACGAAGAAGGTCTCAACTCTATTGCTGCTCTGTGATACTCCTGTCACAACTAGCTCACCAACTCTGAGCCGCGGGTTATCCCAGAAACCTGCACAAACAGAATCTTTGCCAGCCGCGCTCTTCCCTGCACAGTGTGTATCGTGTATATAGACACTTTGCGCACACAGTTTCCCCCCCATATAAATTTCAGTAAAGCTTGAATAACATCTTCCGTGCAAAGTGCAGCCCATGCCAAGCTAAGCACCACAGGACCGTACACGGTGTAGTGGTGTAACTTAGAAGTAGCAGATGGAACAGTGGTGAGCAACCTGCAGCCCATAGCCCACTGGCGTTTCACCTGCGACCTGTGCACCCCTTCTCTGCCCCTTCCCCCACACCTCTCGCACACTGGGGCACCGGAGCCCCACAATTCCTACTCCTCGCCCACCGTCCCAGCCCTTTTGGAGCACCAGGAATCACCTGATTTGCACTCCGTCCCTGCTCCTTCCAAAGGGGGTGTGCAGGCAACAGGTGGAACCCCAGTGGGCCTCAAGCTGCAGGTTGTCCACCACTGGTAATCATATTGCCCACTGAGATGAAGGAGGGCTACTCATACCGCCCATTCACTAGTCTTGGTTGCCCATCGCTGATATGCAGGCTGGAATTTGTTTCTGGAAAAGCCGAAATGAGGGGTAGCTTGGATCCAGATCCCTTGTTATCAGAACCATGAAAGGGCATTGGACTGGGATAAAAAATCCTGATTCCAGCTCATCTTTAGTATAAATGAGAGGAAACGGTGCTGTAAACCCACTGTAGAGCACTGAGAACATAAGTATCTCATGCCTACAAACAAGAGGCAGAGTCAAAGGCAAGGAAGAGGAGAGGGTTACAGACAAGATTTGAAATGAGGTAGTGAGAATTGATGACGCAGGGTGATGCAGAGAGGCTGTTCAAGACAGCAGACGGCTTCTTGCATCAAAACAGGTGAGACTGTGAGAAGAAATGCAACGGTGGGGGCTGCTGTACTGTATTTGTGATGCACTAGCTGGGCAGGAGGGGAGCCAGGGTTAGAATTTCAGGTCTGTAGCTGTTCACTGTGTAGTACTATTTGAACAG